AAAATACACTAATACTTAAGCGCATCTGGTCCTGATGCAATCAGAAATCTAGCTCTTTTGGTGAGCAGTGTGACTATGAGAGAGACAAATTTGATCTCTTTTTTAAGCCTCTTGCTTAAATTATACATTTTTCAAAAAAATAAATGAAGTATATACTGAAGACCTCAAAGACATGCAATTACAGGAATTCAGCCTGGAAATTACATGTAGAGTTCCAGACAAACCAACTGAATATGACAGTCAAGGTAGTAACACTAATTTGTTGATGCATATTGTGGTCTATTAAATATGCAATAGCACTATGTTGAAAATAACAAATGCCCTAGCTGGTATGGCTCAGTGGGTTGAGTGCTGACCTGCAAACTAAAAGATCACCTGTTCAATTCCCACTTAGGGCACATGCCTGGATTGCAGGCCAGTTCCCCAGATGGCGGCGCGTAAGGGGCAACTGCACATCGATGTTTTTCTCCCTCACTTTCTCCCTCTGTTCCCCTCTCTAAAAATAAGTGAAGAAAATCTTAAAAAAAAAGAAATAACTAAAAAATAAATAAATAACTATATATACCATAATTTAAAAATACTTTATTAAAAATGCAGAAAAATCATCTAATCATTCAGTTGCATGCACTCCTTTTGCTTTCCTGTTAATGAAAATGCATTATTTATGACCTCAATAAAGTACATCACAATAAAGAACGGTATGCCCATGAGGATGGAAATTACAGTATAGGAAATGGAGTAGCCAAAGAATTTAAACGCATGACCCATAGACATGAATAATGGAGAGAGGATTGCCTGATGGAGTGGAGGGTGATGGGTGGAAGGAAGCAAAAAGAGAAAATTAAGACAACTGTAATAGCATAATAAGTAAAATATAATTTAAAAAAGAAAAAATTGACCAATGAATGCCTAAAAAGTGGAACAACAAATTGATGTTTCTCTTTCACTCTCTTCTTTTTTCATTTCTCTCTTCAAAATAAATAAATTTATAAAATAAAAGGTAAAAAAATTATAAGCCCTGGCTAGTGTAGCTCAGTGGATTGAGCGCAGGCTGTGAACCAAAGGGTCACTGGTTTGATTCCCAGTCAGGGCACAGGCCTGGGTTGCAGACCAGGTCCTCAGTAGGGGGTGTGGAATAGGCAACCACACATTAATGTTTCTCTTCCTCTCTTTCTCCTTCCCTTCCCCTCTCTCTAAAAATAAATAAATAAAATCTTTAAAAAATTTTATAAGAAAGGTATGCCCAGACTGAAGACTCGGAGAAATATTACCAAAGAAATAACCTAGTTACTCCATCATACACATGACAAATATATGACAAAAAGTAGGACAAAGCTTTGAAAATTAAAAAGATGCATAATATAAACATAAATGAAAGCCTATTCATTTGTAATTTAAATATTAATTAGGAAAAATTAATTGATGATAAACTGGGAGAATTTAATTTTGACAAAGTTTTGGTATTTTTGTTAGTGTGAAAATGGGATTGTAATTGTCATAATGAAATAGAACTGGTGAGTTACAGACGTAGTAAAATTTTATAGCTGAGATAATGATGAGTATGATTTTCTCAATGCAATAAGGAATTATACATTCAGGAATTATATTTAAGTGTAGAAGTACATATGTATAATGAAAGTTGACCTATGTTTAGCTCAGAATTCTTTTACATCATCACATGAAATACAATAAACAAGAATAATGAGCTCCCATGGGCAGGCGGCTCAGTTGGTCAAATCATCAACACAACACACCAAGATTGTGGGTTTGATCCTTGGTCGGGGCACATGTAAGAATCTATCAGCCCTGGCTGATGTGGCTCAGTGGGTTGAGCACCAGCCTGCAAAACCAAGGGTCACCACTTTGATTCCCACTTAGGGCACATGCCTGGGTTGCAGGCCAGGTCAGTTCCCCAGTGGGGAGGTGTGTGAGAAGCAAGCAAACATTGATATTTCTCTCACTCTCTTTCTCCCTCCCTTCCACTCTGCTAAAATAAATAAATAAAAATCTCTAAAAAAAATCAATCAATGAATGCAGAAATAGAACAACAAATCAATGTTTCCATCTCCCTTACTTCCTCTCTATATAAAATCAATACATAAATTTAAAACAATATTATGAGAAAGCATGCATGAAATAAAAATTAAAAGTCAGTAGTAATTTTTTTCCTATTTAAAACTTTAAAGGAGTTTTTCCTGTCTCTCAGATTGCAGTAGGCATTGAGGTCTCTGTCTCAACTCACCTTTCACCATCGGGACCAGTTAAGGAGTTTGCAGGTAGGTTATAGAGACTGCAAAGTTTGTGACATCCTTGACTCAAGACCACCCCTCAGGCTGTATGGGCTCCCTGAGCACTTTCAGGATATGCCCTACCAGCCATTCAGCAAAGAAGATCCAATGACAAAGTCTGCAGGCTGAACACGTGCCACATACCAAAATACAAGGGACACACATTACCACACATCTCAGTTTAGTGGTAGAGAGAATTATGCTTGTGTCTACAAGGAAAATGAAACTTTCTAGCTGGTGGACACAGCATGCATACAGGAGACCGCCTTCCAGCAAACCAGATGACATTTTCACAGCAGAATCTCACCCGGGACAAATACCCAAGGAAGGACACAGTTGAACCTGCAGATGCTCCCTCAGAGCACCAAGCAGAGAGAGAGTGAATCCACATGCCTGCAGAATAAATTTGAGAATCAATTTGGAATAAGACTCATATGGGCTCGAATTTAAGAAAATCCATGAGACTCTGAAGTTTGTGGGAATTGGAAGCACACATGGAAATGGATGTTCCTCAGTTAATGAAGATGCTCTACTTGTAAGTGTAACAGCCACAGGACACTCAGTGATGTGTGGCCTTAGAATACTATGATAAAGCGTTTGACAGCATCTTCACACACACACAAAAATGACAAGCCCCTGTGGAGCACCATGAGCATCCTCCAAACACTCACAACCACAGATGACCCTATCATGTGAAAGCTGGAAAATACCTTGGGAGATATGTTGCCCACCAATGCCAGTATGGCCACACTAATGAGCTGTGTCCACTCTCTTAATTCCTGGGACACTGTTATCCACAGAGTCTGGTTCAAACTCTTTAACAAGAGGCACAACTCTGACATTGACCTCCTGACAGTGAGTGAGAGGACCAATGAGCATGTCAGGGTGAAGGTAATTTCTTCAATTTGCCCTGTAACCTGGCCATCTGTGCCATTAAGGGGTACCTATGAGATCATGGCCACTTAATATGGAGGTTCAGATGCACAGACAATAAAGACCCCCAAGTCAAAGGTGAATAGTTAAGCACTTTATTAAGCAAGAGCAAAAAGAAAAGCAAGAATCAAGAGCATCCATCACCAGACGGGAAATCACCTATACCCGAACACAGACACTGGGGAATCCCGAGAGGCAGCAGTGGTCTGGGTTCATCTGGGAACAGTTCTGAGAGAAGCATCCTTCCCTTGGGTGGGATTCCAAAGTCTCACTTTGGGGGCTATGATTAAATATGTTTTAGATAAATGTGGCTATGTGCCAAGGGTCTTGTGTGATTTTGACTAACTAACCGTTCCATCTTGGTGAAGTGCCAAGTCTCCCAAGGGAACAGCTAAAGATCAAAAGGTACTAATCTCTCAAGGAGAAGAGCCAGTTCTCCCTGGGAGACAGCATTATATGTTGCTTTTCCAATGAAGGTCACAGCTCAGGCATAAACAAGGAGAATTTTCAAAGCCCCTCCAACCCTTCACCATGGAGTCAAATTATGTCAACCACACCTTCCCTTAGACCTAAGTATCCTCTGAAGCTGATGAGATAATTAGTAAATGATTGTTGAAGAAATGAAACATGATATCATGGCTTTCCTTTAATGCTTCTAAATTTATCAGCTCACTAATTTTCCTCAAGTTCTCAGTAATGAAAAGGACCCACACTTTGTAGAAAGTAGAATTTCATGATAGCCAAGTTTCCAGCAGAGCCATAGCTCAAGTTCATTCTTTCATATCTTAGAACTCAGTGTTCTTTATTTACCACCCTTTGACACTTACGTGTTCTTGGGCTTCATAGAGCATTTTCTCTTCTGGCTATTTAAATAATGCTCATTTTATAATGCCATAGAGAATCACTAATTGATTGCCTCTCACATGCACCTTGACCAGGAATGGAATCTGAAACCTCAGTAAGTACCCTAACTGAGAATCTAACTTACGACCTTTCATTTAGTAGGAAAATAGCAGCCCACCCCACAGAACCACAGGAGTCATAACTAAGTGTGTGAGTGCGTGTGTTTAAAGATTCTATTTATTTATTTGGGGAGAGGGGAAGGGAGAGAGAAAGAGATGAAGGGAAACATCAAGGTGTAAAAGATACATTGATCAATTGCCTCTCACATGCCCCCAACCATGGACCTGGCCTGTGACTTAAGCATTTGCCCTGAACAGAAATGGAACCAGTGACCTGTTGGTTCACTGACCAGTGCTCCAATCCAGTGAGCCACACCATCAAGTGTGTGTGTGTGTGTGTGTGTGTGTGTGTGTGTGTGTGTTAAGTGTTCTGTGTAAAGGTAGTCTACTCTGAAGCCATCTTGGTAAATAACACCAACAGTGTGAAGTTATATAGAATTCCTTCAGGGTGACGCTAGGTTCCATCCGAAAAACATTTAAAATCTGCATGGAAACATAAACCATTATCTTCAAAGACCTTGGTCTATTTGAACTGATAATTACTGTGCTGTGACTTTAAGTTCACTATTAAAAGGGTCACCCAAGGGGAGTCATGGAGTTAATTTGGTTATTAATGATAGTTTACATATCCTATACACTATGTCTAAATTTAGTTATAGTACCAGATAAAATTATTGATGGGAATGAAGTTTGTGTAGCACCCATTATCATGCATAATCATTAAATGATTTAATATTCCCTTGGGAAAAAAAGAGAAAATACTTGAGAGGCAGAGGGGTATATGAAAGGGAACCTAAAAAAACTTCCAGCATTTATTTATAAAATATTGTGTATTTATTTTTACATGTTGAAACTTCAGTCACCTTCAAAGAACTCTTCCTTTGATGCAATACACCTATTAAGATCTTTTTTTTTTTCACTGCTTAAAGTTTTTGAACTCATTGATTTTGGTGGCTTTTAGTGCTTCTGCCATGTTTGTTGCTTGTCTTCCACCAAGACCAAATGTTTCTCTTTGAGGACTTTCTTCATCTGGGGAGCCAAAAACAAAAATAAGTCCCTCGGGGCAAAATTGGGTGAATAGGGAGGGTGGGGCATAGGAGCCATGCCATTTTTGGTCAAAAACTGCTGAATGCTCAGCACAGTGTGGGCAGGTGTATTCATAATTCATCCATCATAAAATGGGCAAAGGTGTCGAGTCTTCAAAAATATACAATGAATACTAGGGCAAGGGGAAAAAAATGGAAAAAATAAACAAATTGGACTACATCAAATTGAAAAGGTTCTGCATGGCTAAAGAAACAATCATCAAAATGAAAAAGGAACTGACTACATGGGAGAACATATTTGTAAATGGTACATCTGGAAAGGGTTTGATCTCCAAAATATACAAAGAACTCATACAACTCTACACCAGGAAGCTAAAAAAAAAACAATTTAAAAATGGGAAAATGACCTGAAAAGATACTTCTCCAAGGAGGACATACAGATGGCCCAGAGACATATCTAAGGATACTCGGAAACACTAGTCATCAGAGGGATGCAAATTAAAGCTGCAATGAGATTGACATCTCCCACACCTGCCACACCTGCCATAACAGCCATCACTAATAAATCAACAAAGAACAACTGCTGGTGACTGCCGGGGTCCAGCCTCAGCAGGTCTCAGGGTCCCTGAAGGATGGATGGCGCAGGCGACAAATGAAGAGTCAGACACCCGATTGGATGCCAGAGAACAGCCAGCCTCTGTGGATCTGACCCAACTCACAGAGTTTGATTTAAGCTTTATTTTTATAGAGATTGTTATGTGGCATCAAAGGAACAGGTGTATGGCATGATCAGTTAGGCAGAAAAATCAATACAGAGGTAACTAGGAAAAGTACAGGAAATTCCTTAATTCAGTTATGTTAAACAAAGGTTATTTTGACCAGGAGAGCCATTAATCAGACAACTAAAAATAGCTGTATGTACAGAGTTTTAAATGTCTTATTGATGAATAGATGTGTATTAAAGTTCTTAGAATTTGGCATGGGTCAAAAGGATACGCTAGACTGAACAGTGGTTATAGAAAATTTATTACAAGGCCTTTGTGGTATCTAACTCAACTATCTATCTTCTTGTCTAGAATCTTACTTTATGTACTTTGGACTCTAACTCCTTAGCAATTGTTTCTACGTACTCAGTTTGTAATAGTTAACCGGCTTCTCCTGCTTCTTTACCTAATTCCATTTAACGTATATTCCTGTCCAAGGTAGAGGAGGGGCTGTTACTCCATCAACTTTTAGACATTTAGGGGCTACCCCATTAGCGGGGACTTTTGTTCTATGGCCGAGAAATCATTTTGTACAACTTCATTGGAATTTTGTGGATCACCGGGCCTGAAATACAGGTGTTTAAAAATCCCACCACCTATTAATCGCAAAGACAAACATGCAAAGAGAGATAGGAAATCCAGCCACAGTTGCCTCTGCTGTGCAGATATATCTCATCTGTCCCAACTGTGTCAAGGGACGGGTGTTGGTCGGCTCCTGACATCTGACCTTCATAAACATCAAAGAGTTCACAGTGGCCTTATGAGTACAATATATGTGGAAAATCGTTTACCAGTAGCCAGAACCTCTGTGGTCATTACAGTGGTCACACTGGAGAAAGACCTTATGAGTGTGGTGAATGTGGGAAATCTTTTTCCATTAGCTCTGTTCTCTGTTATCACCACAGAGTTCACACTGGAGAAAGGCCTATGACTGCAGGGAATGTGGGAAAAGTTTTACCACTAGTTCTCTTCTTCATATTCATCTGAGACTTCACACTGGAGAAAGGCCATATGAATGCAGTGAATGTGGGAAATCTTTTACCAGGACCTCTGCCTTCCATGCTCATAAGAGAGTTCACACTGCAGAAAGGCCTTATGCATGTGGTGATTGTGGGAAATCATTTAAGTTGAAACACCACTATAATTCTCACCAGAGACTTCACACTGGAGAAAGGCCTTATGAATGCCATCAGCGGGGGAAATCTTTTACCTGTAGATCTCTTCTTCATATTCATCAGAATTCACATTGCAGAAAGAACTCAAGAGTGCAGTGAATATAAGACGTACTTTACAAAAAGCACCACCCCTTATGAAACACCAATGAATTAATTCTGGAGAACAGCCACATCAGTGAAGTTAATGTGGAAAAACTGATGTGAATAGCTCTGTGTTTTTCCTAATTGTAGTGTTCACATAGGATAAAGGCGTTTTGGGTGCAGTAAAACTGGGGTATGGTTAACATGAACTCTGCTGTCTGTTACCAGAGATTTTACAAAGGAGATAGCTTTTATCAGTGCTCTGATGGTAGGACATCTTTTCCCCGTAGCTGTCACTTCTGTTGTCATCAGAGAGTTCACACGGCTAAATGGCCTTATGCCTATAGTTAATGTGGAGGTCTTCTTTTATATCAACGATTTTCCTTATTATGAGAGAGTTTACACTGTAGATATACCATCTGAGTGCTGTGAATGTGGAAATTTAAGAGTCACCATTATTTTCACTGTCATCATGGAATTCACAAGAATTAAGTTCTCATAAGTTAACATGTGGGAGACTGCCAGTCAAGATGGCAGAATAGGCAGACGTGGCTCACCTCTGAACAGCCACATCCAAATTACAGCTAAAGTGTAGAACAGCTGTTACTGAGGAATGTCAGGAATCAGGCTGAATGGAAGTCTGACAACTATGAAATTGAGTTGAATGGAATGCTAACAAAATTAAAGAAATAACATCAATACTGACTGGTACGAAGGGCACAGACATGGGAAGGCTGGTATCACAACCACATGGATAAAAATTCGCGAGTGATATCTCAGGAGTCAGGAATCCCAAACTCACCCCAGGGCCCCCAGACCAGAATTCCAGTGCCAGGAAGATAAGTCCCCACAACATCTGGCTGCAACAAAAAGCAGCAGCAGGGATTGAGTTAGTAGAAGAAACTGCTGGAGCCACAGATAGGTCCTCTTAAAGGACCCACGCATGGACTCACCTACTCAGACTCAGTCCCTCTGAGCTCCAGCACCAGGATAGCAGCTTGAAAGACACCATTGGTCTACAGGGAGAAACTAAAGTATTTTTCATCAATGTGAGCAGTGGCCACGGTACCTTTGCTATGTCCTCCTTCCACTGAGCTGGTAAGCTGGGGCCATACCTGATATTCTTATCAACCTAACTCATACTGTTGTACCCACCCTGGAGATCCCCCAAAGACTCTACCCCATCCAACTTAAGGGACCACCCAAGCTGTTTTTCCGTATGAGTGTCTGGTTTTGATTCATGATTCAAACCTTCTTAAATGCAATTAAACATACAGCAGCTGTCCTCGGTGAGCCCCAGGCCTGGCAGTAGCAAACAGCCAGTCTAGTTTCACAGTTTGGCTCCACCTGGGAATCTCCAAGCTCAGCGTAAGTAATAGCCATCTCAGATGGTTTTATATCTCAGGTAGAGTGGCCCAGGGCAAAGCAGGTGGGACGGAACTTGCACATGTAGTGGGCAGCAAAGACCACATCAGAGTGCCAACATCCTGCCCCTGCACAGCTGATCTTTCACATAGAGAAGAGAGTGGTGGGCAGTGGTCACAACCGGTTCTTGTACCTGACTGGCCTGGGTAAATCCCATGGATCTGCTACAGCAATGAAGGTTCAACTACAAGAGATGGGTGTAATTTGCCCACATGAAGAGCGTATCTCGAGTGCCCAGCTTGGGTGATTGGGAAGGTTGGACCACTGGACACTATAGGACACCTACTACATTAGGCCACACTACCAAGACATGGAGTCAAGGCAGCTCTACCTAATTCATGGCAACAAACCCAGGGAGGCTGCTAAAATGAGACAAAGACGGCCCAAATAAAAGAACAGATCAAAACTCCAGAAAAAGAGCTAAATGAAATGAAGATAAGCAATCTATCAGATGGAGTTTAAAACACTGGTTGTAAGGATGCTTGAGGAACTTAGGACATCAGCATTAGAAAAAATACCCAGTGAGGAATGAAGGATACACTAATTTACAGGGAAACTAGAGTGGATGAAGCTGAGAATCAAATCAATGATTTGGAACATAAGGAAGCAAAAAACAACACACAACAAGAAAATAATTTTAAAAAATGAGGATAGTATAAATAGCCTCTGGGACAACTTCAAGAGGTATGACATTCGGGGTGCCAGAAAGAGAAGAGAAAGAGCAAGAAATTGAAAATCTCTGAAAAAATAGTGAAAGAAAACTTCCTGCTCTGGCTGGAGTGGGTCAGTGGACTGAGCAAAGGCCTGCGAACCAAAGGGTCGCTGGTTAGATTACCAGTCAGGGCACATGCCTTGGTTGTGAGCCAAGTTGTGGCCCCAGTAGGGGGCGTGCAAGAGGCAACCACACATGATGTTTCTCTAAAAATAAATAAAATATTTTTTAAAAAAGAAAGCTTCCTTAATTTTGTGAAGTAAACAGACATGCAAATCCAGGAAGCCCAGAGTCCAGTATGATGTTTGCAAAGAGGCATACTCCAAGACGCATCATAATGAAAAGGTCAAAAGTTTAATATAAAGAGGCTCTTAGAAGCAGCAAGGCAAAAGAAGTTCCGACTAGATGGTTGCCAGATGAAAGGGGAGGTGGAAAAATGGGTGAAGAGGAGGGGATTTTATATGTTCACATGTCTCAGAAGTTTAATGTTGACATTTTGAAGAATGTAACAAACATGATCTAAACTAATTGTGCCTTTATTCGTTCTTACTCAGTGTATAAGGGTTGCATTTCCCCACTCTTAAGAAAATACTGATTTAATTTTTATAATTTAACTCTTTTTGTATGTTTCTCATGCTCTCTCTGTTTAAGTTGCATTGCCCTAAGGATTTATGATGACCATTTTTGGAGGATTGTATGTACTACTGATATGTTTCTAGCAAAATGTGTGCTCACATAATTCACCCATTTTATTAATTTGGGCTACTTTAACAAGTAGGACAGTGGACCTACAAATTTCTATGATGTAATTTCACCCATTTTCACT